CGGAACGTGTGAGGGGGTTGCCAAAATGGGGCGGTGGGCGCATGCGAGCCCTGGCATGTGTGCCTTCGGTGGAGCTCCCTATGGGGCCACGAAACGTGTGAGCAGTGTGCCAAAATGGGTGCGGTGGGAACATGCGAAATCTGGCATCTGGGCCTTCGGCAGAGCTCCCTATAGGGCCCCGGAACGTGTGAGGTACCAAAGCCCGGCGGGCGCATGCGAGCGCTGACATCTGGGCCTTCGGTGGAGCTCCCAGGTGGGGCCAAGAAACGTGTGAGGGATGTGCCAAAATGTGCCAAATGGGCGCGGTGGGCGCACGCGAGCGCTGGCGTTTGAGCCGTCGGGGGAGCTCGTGAAGGGTGTGCCAAAATGGGCGCGGTGTGCACATGCGAGCGCTCGCGTTTGGGCCTCCGGTGGGGGTGTGCCAAAATGGATGCGGCGGGTGCATGCGAGCTCTGGCATCTGGGCCTTCGGTGGAGCTCCATGTGGGCCACGAAACGCGCGAGGGGTGTGCCAAATGGGTGCGGCGGGCGCATGCGTGCGCTGGCATTTGGGCCTTCGGTGGAGCTCCCTACGGGGCCACGAAACGTGTGAGGGGTGTGCCAAATGGATGATGCATCGGGCGCGTGAGAGCGCTGGCATTTGGGCCTATGGTGGAGCTCCCTATGGGGCCACGAAAGGAGTGAGGGGTGTGCCAAGACGGGTGTAGTGGGCGCATGCGAGCGCTGGCATCTGGCTCCCTGTAGGGCCACGAAATGCGTGAGGGGTATGCCAAAATGGGTGCGGTGGGCGCACGCGAGCGCTGGCGTTTGAGCCGTCGGGGGAGCTCGTGAAGGGTGTGCCAAAATGGGCGCGGTGGTCACATGCGAGCGCTGGCGTTTGGGCCTTCGGTGGAGCTCCTTATGGGGCCACGGAACGTGTGAGGGGTGTGCCAAACTGGGCGCGGTAGGCGCATGCGAGCGCTGGCATTTGGGCCTTCGGTGGAGCTCCCAGGTGGGGCCAAGAAACGTGTAAGGGATGTGCCAAAATGGATGCGGCGGGCGCATGCGAACGCTGGCATTTGGGCCTCAGCTGGAGTTCTTTATGGGGCCACAAAGCGTGTGAGGTGTGTGCCAAAGTGAGAGGGGGTGAGGGGAGGAGGAGTAGGAGGAGGAGGAGGAGCAGGAGGAGAGGAGAGGAGGAGTCGCGGGGACCTCTCTTCAAAACGAAGACCTAACACCGCAGGACGGTTGCGAAAAAGGGAGACGAGGGCCTGTCCGCCTAAGATGGCCTCGAGAGTGCCTGCGAGCGGGCCAAAATAGCCAAATGTGGCCTACGAGACGGCCTCGAGACGCCTCCAACACGGCAAAGGTGGCCCCAAGAGAAGCCAAGATGGCCACAAAAATACATTCAAGGCGGCCGAAGATGGACCCATGACAACCTCGAAGAGGACCTCCAGGAGGGCCCAATGGAGCCAAAATCATGCATTTGAATATAAATGATTGTCGCGCTCTCGCCTTCAAGGTTGCCTCCGGAGGACCAATAACTTCCGGAGACCTCGATCTCGGGGCCGAACGGTCATTCATCGTCCCTGGGTGCGTGGCTGAAATGCGGACCCGTGGTGATGGTTCTGCTTGTTGTTGTTGCTGTTGTTGTTATTGTTGTTATTGTTGTTGTTGAACTCTCATTCATAAAAGAATAATCATTGCTGATCCCCCCCATCACAGGTGCATGCTGTTTTTCTCAATCAAAGCGTGCCCCGCGACGCTCGCACCCTGTTTTTTGACAGGGAAAATCTTGATGCTCAAACTGCGCCCCTGGCCCCCAGGTTACAACAACAACGGCTCCCGCCTGAGACTTCCTCACAATTTAGCCAGGACCCCCGTTCCTGCCCGAGACTTCCTCGCATTTTATGCAGCAATCGCACTCTCGCTGAGGATTTCCTTGCAATTGATTCAGGAAACGCTCTCCCGGCGCTCTGGAGTCGCGCTCTCGCTGGAGATTGCCTGCAATCCACTGAAGAATAGCGCACTTGCATTGGAATGTCCTGCAATTTGCTCAAGCGCCGCGCTCCCGACACCCAGGCACCCAGGAATCGCGCCCGTTGTGGCCCCATGTGCATGCCCTTCGTGGCCCCGCTGTCGCCATTTGTGGTCCCGTCACTGTCCTACATGGCCCAGTTGCTACCTTCAGTGGCCCCATCGTTGCCTTCCGTGGCCCCGCATTATCTGCCCTTCGTGGCCCCCGATCGTTCGCGCTCTTCGTGGCCCCATACGCTTTCCCTTCGTGTCCCCGCTGTCGCCCTTCGTGGCCTACTTCGTGTCCTTCGTGGCCCTGCTGTCGTTCTCTCTCGCTCTCGCTTTCGCTCGTCGTCGCCGTCGTCGTCGTCGTCGCAGTCGTCGTCGACGTCGTCGTCGTCGTGGTCGGTCTCCTGTCTGTCCCTCTTGGGGTCGGGTCGACGGTCCGCGGCCGCCCCGCCGATCAGCGCTGCCGCTGGCCAGGCCGACGGTCCGCGGCCGCCCCTCCGCTTGCTGGGGCCTGGCCTGCAGGGAAGAAAGGTATACCCCCCAAAAGAGGTTCGATCGAAGACGAAGAGGCGGGTATCGAGGGTTTGGGAAGTACGCGTTATTGGACACTCGAGCAGATAAAGGCGAACAATCTTAAAATGATTGTTATTGTTGTCGTCGTCGCCCCCGCGACCCGGCCCGCGACCCACCCGCGACCCACCTCGCGACCCACCCGCGACCCACCCCGCGACCCACCCGCGACCCACCCGCGACCCACTCCGCGACCCGTTCGCGACCCACCCGCGACCCACCCGCGACCCGGCCCGCTACCCACCCGCGACCCACCCGCGACCCACCCGCGACCCACCCGCGACCCACCCGCGAACCACCTGCGAACCACCTGCGACCCAACCCGCGACCCACCTACATTGCTTTAACAAAAAATCGGCGCCTGCGGCGGGCTCGTTGCATAGCTTGAAATTATGTTGCGCCTCCAGCGGGCTTTTTCAAGGCCTCGCAGACTGCCGACGTCCCCGCCGCCCCCTCACTCTTATCCGCAACTGCGGGGTGCTACGTAATGATCTCAATCCTGGATCCTCGATCCCCGATTCTCGTACCTCGATTCCCATAGTGTAGCACCAACCAATCAACAAGGGAAAACCAAAGTGGTGATATGCGACGCAGATAGACATACTAGTACTATGCGTCCTCCTCGGTGGCGTGCGTCCGACCCGAACATATAAAGCACAACCATATTGTAGTGCTTCGTTTCCCGAGCGGTGTTGCCCGGAAGCGCCCGCCACGGAGCTTAAGCTACACGACGTCTCGGCGCGCGCGCGTCACCCTTGGGAGGGCGACGCTCACAGACGCCGAAGATATCGAAAAAACTTGAGAGGACGACCAAAGAATCGCAATGACGACGACCAGGCCCACGAGCACGCCTGGAGCCCGGTCTGCTAGGCTTCGACAGGGGCGCTACTCCGTGGCGGGCCCCCCAGGGCACCCCTTCTTAATCGTGGTCGGCCCAGCGCCTTGACTGAAGTGCACCCATGTGCAGCTGGAGTTGCACGCGCGGTGCCACCTTCCATGAGGGGCAACGATGGGGGGGGGACTGGCATTGTGGGGGGAACATCGACCTGGAATCGGCAATACATCGTCGACAAATCGGCGACAGGCCTCCGATCGCAAATCCACACGTCCCTGGGCAGGTTGTGGCTATCGGGCCCGCGATGAAGGGCGATTGGGGGTCGATGCGTCCCCGCCCAATGGAGTATGCCTCTCCCCCCTTATCGTTGCCCCTGACTCCAGAGCCCGAAACGCCAGGAAACGAGGCGAAGCCAGGACAGGGACACAATCGGACAGGAAGAAATCTAAGGTCGGGCGACTCTGGAGGATGCACCGGGCGCCGCGGCCCGGGCGCCGTTTCGGGCGAAGGGGGCTATAACTAGTGAGAGGGGGCTGGCGAGTCAGCTCAGACGGCTCCTCTTCTCGTCGCCTCCCGGCGTCCGATGCGCCAACCACGAGGGGCAGCGACGGGGGGGCCCCGCTCGGGAAGGGACACATCGAGCTGGAATCGGCGATACGTCGCCGATAGATCGGCGATCGGCCCCCGACAGCGAGACCGCACGTTCCTGGGCGGAGTGGGCTATCGGGCCCCCACGGGCGGTCACTGGGCGGTCGGGTGTCGTTCGATGCGTTCCCCCCCCCCTGAGCCTGTCCCCGCTGCAACACTCGCCCCCGAAACGTACCGACGAAGGCGCCAGGCGGCAGGGCCGAAACCAGCGGCACGCAGCAGATGTCGCAACCACCCCCAGGCATCTTCCGATGGGATCTGTTCCATCCGCGGCCCCAGAGAGGTCCCGCCCACCCTATCCCCTGGGGCAGGTTGGCGTACCCGCTCCATGACTGATGGTCGCGGGCCCCGATAAGTGGCCGTGGAGGCCGACATCATGGAAAAACGCCACGCTTGCAAAAATCCAGGCCCCCTTTTTCTTGGCCCGACTCGCGCCGACCGAGCGCGACGCAGCAAGAAGCCGCGCCCCTAGCGCCGAGGCGCCGTGCCCAGGTCAGGCCACCTGCACCGAATCAGGGGGGGGAGGAAGGGGGAGGGGAGGGCCCTGTGAACATGGGCGGGCCGAATTGACATGCGACGAGCCCGTTACAGGGGGTTTTGGACGGGCTCTTGAAAGGGGGGCCCTTGCTGAGGAGATGCAATGCTCCCTGGAGCGACGGGTCAAGGGCTCCGGGGTTGCCGCTCCCGCCACCCAGGGATTCAAACTCCCAGCATCAGGGAGGAACCACGGAGTTCGAAATCCAGGGACGTTGAATTTGTGCTTCTCGCCCTGCAGGGGAGCGCGCGGCCTCCGACCCGAGATCCCCGATCCTGGAGGAGGAGGAGGAGGAGGAGGAGGAGGAGGAGGAGGAGGAGGAGGAGGAGAAGAACGAGGAGGAGGAGGAGGAGGAGGAGGAGGAGGAGGAGGAGGAGGACGAGGAGGTGCCCCTTTTCCGCCGCGGGCGGGGCGCGCGCGCTCCCTGGCAGCGCCCGCGGCGTGCCGGCCGCCCGGGCCGCGCAGGCGCCCCGCGAGCAGCCGCCGTCGCGGCGGCCTGGCCGCGCGGGCTGGCACCGCACCGGGAGATCGGCTCGACGCGAGGGCGTCCTGCCCGGAAAAAAGTTCGGGGGGAACGAAAGGGGAGGATAGCAAAAGGGCAGGGTAGAGGATCAGCTCACGTGGCTGATTTTCCCGGCGCCTCCCGGCGCCGGGAGGCGCCCATGTATCAAGGGATGGGCCCGGCGGTGGGGCCGAAACCAGCTGCATGCAGCAGATTTCGTAACCACCCCTTTCCCTATCCCCCCCTTTCGTTCGGCCCGACGAGTCGGCATCATTTTCGCCATTGTTGGGCCTACCTGGAAGCCCTCGCCGCCATGGCCGGATGCGCCTCGGAATTCTGGTCGGAGCTCACCCTAGGAGAGAGGTCCGCCAAGTAGCGGCCTCGGTGTCTTCTCTGGTCTACGAGGACACTACTGGTTCAATCTCAGCGTTTCTCTTCGACTTCGGCCTCATCGGGCCGACCCGTGAACAGGAACTGCTATCGGTCTTCGCACCCCTTCTTTCCGTACGGCAGGTGGTTTGTGTCGTGCCGACTTCGGCGTTAGTTTCTGACACCGCGGGGTTTTGTCCACCTTGACCGATCGGCCGCCTCCGAAACGTCTGATCCTTCGACATCGACCGATTCTGGGTCGCAGGCGGCATTCGAGGTTGAAGGCTGGCGGTGGGGTCGCCGCTGGTCGGCACGACGCGGGCCCACAGTCCCCATGTCGATCGTATTGGCTAACTCGGGGGGGTGCTAGAAAGGTGCCCCTGACCCGGGGTGTCCCAAGCTCTCCGCTCCCTTTTGGAGCCCCCTGGGCCCTCTGGGCCTCATGAAGGGTGTCCTGGATGCCGTGGGGACCGTCTTGGAAATCCTGGGCGCACCTTGGGCCAGGGGCACTCTTAGGTGAAGGAGGAGGAGGAGGAGGAGGAGGAGGAGGAGGAGGAGGAGGAGGAGGAGGAGGGAGGAGGAGGAGGAGGAGGAGGAGGAGGAGGAGGAGGAGGAAGGAGGAAGGAGGAGGAAGGGAGGGGTAGGGATGAGTACGCCGAGATGCGAGGATGACGAGTGAAGGACCAGAAGTGAGGCGGAGGATGAGGAGGAGGAGGAGGAGGAGGACAAGGAGGAGGAGGAGGACAAGGAGGAGGAGGAGCAGGAGCCACACCAGAAAGACGGGCCCCGGAGGCGGAGAGCGAGGAGAAACCGCGGGGGTGGAGGCAGGCACACGCCACGTCCTCGGAGGGCTGGGGCCGCGGAGGCGTGGGCCACGGCCGAGCTTCCAGGGACCAGTCCCGAGCTCCTGCGGGCGAGCCCTGGCCGACTTTCCCCGAGGACTGCTCCGCGAGAGGCTCGCGGCACGCCCCCTCTGCCCAGGACCTGTCGGCCCCTGATCCCGGGCGTTGGGAGGCTTTCGAGTGGGCCCACAAAGTTTGGGGCCCAACCCTGGAATATACGATTGGGGGGTCTTTTCCTCCTGCCCCTCCCCCTTCTCCTCCTCCTCCTCCTCCTCCTCCTCCCTCCTCCTCCGCCTCCCTCCTCACTCCACCTCCACTCCCCTCCTCCACTCCTCCTCCTCCCCTCCTCCTCCTCCTCCTCCTCCTCCTCCTTATCTCCGCCTCCTCCTCCTCCTCATTCTTCTGATCCTCCCCCATCCTGGTCGTCGTCGATGTCTTTCAGGGTCGGCGGCACCGGCCGTCAGGCCTTCACAATATACGATTGGGGGGAGGAGGGCGCCCAGCCTCGATGTGTGGTGCGTCCGTATAGGCCCCTTGGGGTGCATATCCCAAGGCTTCCCCGTTGTCCTGAGCGGCGGGCGCGGCCACCCCACGCGAGAGCGGCCGCACGTGCAGAGAAGGGCCGCAGCGCTGGCCTCCCGCAGCAGGCCGAGCTGGCCAGGAGCCCAGACGACGTCCCCCTGATCTCGTAGGCGCTCTTTCTCTGTTCAGAGTTTCGGGATTTGGCCAGAGTAGGCAGAAGGATTTCGTCACGTGATGCGGAGTTCCCCCTCCCCACCGCATCCCTCTCCTCTTCCTCCTCTCTATCTCCTCATCCTCCTGGCCCCCTTCGATTCGCATCACGTGACGGATCCGAATCGCCGACCTGATCGCGTAGGCGTTTTTTTTTGCTCAGAGGTTCGGTAGTTGGCCCAGAGGGCGGGGGAGGGGGGGGTCCGGGTCTGGGACGGTGCTCCGTCGGTCTGCTCAGCTGCCAGTCGCGCCAGCAGATCAGGGGGGAAGGGGTCCCGACCAGTCGATATACAAGCAGCCGCCATGAGCAGTCCTGGTCCATGGGGCGGGAGGGGGGGGGCGCCAGGATCCCGCGCCGATCGGCGAAACAATGCATAAAAAACAGCGACCTCCGAGGACGTGACTGTTTCGATATCGGCGGTGTTCCCCCGATGTGGGCCCATGGGCCCGCTATCGGGCCCAGGACCATCACAAACGGATCTGGGAGGAAAGACGACCCGGGGGAGGTGCTCGGGACCCGGGGCCGAGGACTGAAAATATCTCATCACATCGGAGGATGCCTGGGTCCAACATTTTGGAAAAAAACTAGACGGCGATTCCGGTCGCGTTAAGCCCCTGGTGGCCCTCGCTGGGTTCCAGGGCCGTCAAAAACGTCTCAGGATAAAGGGCCGCCCCTGGGGCCCGGATCAGGACTTCTGGGGGCTTGGTCTTGAACAAATCAAGACTTCGCAAGCCTAGGAAGGCGCATACCCCGATCCTGGGCACAGAATTGGTCTGGCCAAGGTTTTGCTCTTTAAGAGTCGCACTCCCCACAACACCTACGAGGAGGGAGCCCTTTCAGAAAAGCGGCCCTATTACCCTAGAACCTTTTATGTTTGCAATGCGGATCCCAGGCACTTGCAACAAGTGGGTGCTAGTCGAGCGCTGCGCAAGGCGTACTACACAAACAGTTAGAGAAAAAATGCCCATCTCATACCTCTCTCGAAAGTGATGCAGATGTCACGATATTCGGGGTACCGGTGTCGAGCAAGACCCCGTTATGATCTAAAACCCAACTGAGACTTCGCTGTCCGAAACATCCTTGAATGAGGCACCGATGTCATGCAGTGTTTTCGTCCAGCACCGCGTGCCTAGGCGCTCCCACCAGTGGAGCTTGGCACGCGCGGTATGGTGAAATCTGGGGGAGCGAGGCTGACGCAACCACCCTGCTCACCAACGCTGTGCTCACTTCGCATGGTCGCCTGCTGCTGATTTGCAGTTGCATCGCCAAGGCCCTCGGAGAGGCGCTCAACGAGACTGCTGAGAGGCTGCACAGAAGTAATATGCCTGAGCAAATGAAAAGTAAAGGGGCTATGAGTGTTGTCTTGATCACTGGCATCGAAAGCCCTCTGACCAGGCCTGCAAGCTGAGATAATGAAATTCGCCGGCCCAACGGGCCAGAGGCGTGCTAAGATCTCCGGTAACTGGTTCACAGTATTTCTAACTCGCCCGCGCGTGGCGGCCCCTGGGGGTCCCTGGACGAACAGTACCCCGGCAAGGTCCCGGGAGGAGCCACCAGAGCACTCCAAGGGGAGGGCCATTTTTCGACACCCCTCACCAGAACCGCGGCCTCCGAGGGGGGAGCCGCAATCGACTACCCCCCCTCCCGCCCCAAGAGGCCTCCAAGAGCCCCCCAAGAGGCCCTGGGGGCCCCCAAGACGCCGCCAAGGAGCCCCAAGAGCACTCCCAAGAGGGCCCCAAGAGGTAAAATGCATTGTTTTTCCTTAGGTTTGGGGGAGATTTGGGCGTTTCCACCTTTTCGGCATCGCGACGCCCCAAGACGGCCCAAGAGGCCTCCAGTATCGCCCTAAGAGGCCCGAGAGGCCTCCGACAGGGCCTCGAGACGGCCCAAGGGGGTTCCAAGACGGCCCAAGAGGCCCCCAAGACGGCCCACGACAAACCCCAAGAACGCTCTAAGAAAAGCCCCAGAGGGGGAACACGAAACAACATTTCGAGCCCTCGGCCCTAAGCAGCCCCCAGGAGGCGCCAAGAGGCCCCTTTGAAGCCCCAGGAGGCCCCCAAAAGGCCCTCAAGATAGCCCCCAGGCGCTCCACGAGGCTTTCAAGAGCACTCCCAGGAGGGCCCCAAGAGGCAAAATTCCTTGTGTTTCCTTAGGTTTGGGGGAGATTTAGGCGTTTCCACCTTTTCGGCATCGCGACGCCCCAAGACGGCCCAAGATTGCCTAGACTGGTTCAAAGAGCTACCAACGCAATCAGAAGCTATAACCCGAATGGCCCAAGGGGTCCAAAGACGGCCCCAAGAGGCCCCCAAGGGGGGAAAAAACGGCCCAAGAGGACCTCGGAAAGGGTCAAAGCAAAGCCCAGAAGGGGGAACACGAAACAACATTTCGAGCCCTCGGCCCTAAGAAGCCCCCAGGAGGCGCCAAGAGGCCCCTTTGAAGCCCCAGGAGGCCCCCGAAAGGCCCTCGAGATAGCCCCCAGACGCCCCACGAAGCGTTCAAGAGCACTCCCAAGAGGGCCCCAAGAGGCAAAATGTATTGCTTGCCCTTAGGTTTTGGGGAGATTTTGGCGTCTCCACCTTTTCGGCATCGCGACGCCCCAAGACGGCCCAAGAGGCCCCCAAGATCGCCCTCAGAGGCCCGAGAGGCCTCCGACAGGGCCCCAATAGAGCCCACGAGGGTTCCAAGACGGCCCAAGAGGCCTCCAAGACGGCGCAAGAGGGCCCCAAGAACGCTCTAAGAGAAGCCCAGAAGGGGGAACATGAAACAACATTTCGAGCCCTCGGCCCTAAGAAGCCCCCAGGAGGCGCCAAGAGGCCCCTTTGAAGCCCCAGGAGGCCCCCGAAAGGCCCTCGAGATAGCCCCCAGACGCCCCACGAAGCGTTCAAGAGCACTCCCAAGAGGGCCCCAAGAGGCAAAATGTATTGCTTGCCCTTAGGTTTTGGGGAGATTTTGGCGTCTCCACCTTTTCGGCATCGCGACGCCCCAAGACGGCCCACTAGGCCACCAGAATCGCCCTAAGAGGCCCGAGAGGCCTCCGACAGGGCCCCGAGACGGCCCAAGGGGGTTCCAAGACGGCCCAAGAGGCCCCCAAGACGGACCAAGAGGACCCCAAGAACGCTCTAAGGGAAGCCCCAGAGGGGGAACACGAAACAAAATTTCGAGCCCTCGGCCCTAAGCAGCCCCCAGGAGGCGCCAAGAGGCCCCTTTGAAGCCCCAGGAGGCCCCCAAAAGGCCCTCAAGATAGCCCCCAGACGCTCCACGAGGCTTTCAAGTGCACTCCCAAGAGGGCCCCAAGAGGCACAATTCAGCGTTGTTCCTTAGGTTTGGGGGAGATTTGGGCGTTTCCACCTGTTCGGCATCGCGACGCCCCAAGACGGCCCAAGAGGCCTCCAGTATCGCCCTAAGAGGCCCGAGAGGCCTCCGACAGGGCCCCGAGACGGCCCAAGGGGGTTCCAAGACGGCCCAAGAGGCCCCCAAGACGGACCAAGAGGACCCCAAGAACGCTCTAAGGGAAGCCCCATAGGGGGAACAAGAAACAACATTCGAGCCCTCGGGCCCAACGCAGACCCGCCAGGAGCGCCAAGAGGCCCCTTTGAAAGCCCCCTAGGCCCCCAAAAAGGCCCTCAAGATAAGCCCCCAGAACGCTCCACGAGGCTTTCAAGAGCACATCCAGGAGGCCCCAAGAGGCAAAAGTCCTTTGTTTTCCTCAGGTTTTGGGGGAGATTTGGCGTTCACTTTTCGGCATCGCGACGGGAGTGGGCCACAGACGGCCCAAGAGGCCTCCATATCGCCCTAAAGAGGCCCGTAGAGGCCTCCGACAGGGGCCCCGAGACGGCCAATGGGTTCCAGACGGCCCAAGAGGGCCCAAGCGACCCCACAAACGCTCTAAGGGAACCCCAGAGGGGAACACGAAACAACAATCGAGCCCACGGCCCTAAACCGCCCCCAGGAGGCGCCAAGAGGCCCCTTTGAAGCCCCAGGAGGCCCCCAAAAGGCCCTCAAGATAGCCCCCAGGCGCTCCACGAGGCTTTCAAGAGCACTCCCAGGAGGGCCCCAAGAGGCAAAATTCCTTGTGTTTCCTTAGGTTTGGGGGAGATTTGGGCGTTTCCACAGTTTCGGCATCGCGACGCCCCAAGACGGCCCAAGAGGCCTCCAGTATCGCCCTAAGAGGCCCGAGAGGCCTCCGACAGGGCCCCGAGATGGCCCAAGGGGGTTCCAAGACGGCCCAAGAGGCCCCCAAGACGGCCCAAGAGGACCCCAAGAACGCTCTAAGAAAAGCCCCAGAGGGAGAACACGAAACAAAATTTCGAGCCCTCGGCCCTAAGAAGCCCCCAGGAGGCGCCAAGAGGCCACTAAGAAGCCCCAGGAGGCCCCCAAAAGGCCCTCAAGACAGCCCCCGGGCGCTCCACGAGGCTTTCAAGAGCACTCCCAAGAGGGCCCCAAGAGGTAAAATTCCTTGTGTGTCCTTAGGTGTTGGGGGAGATTTGGGCGTTTCCACCTGTTCGGCATCGCGACGCCCCAAGACGGCCCAAGAGGCCTCCAGTATCGCCCTAAGAGGCCCGAGAGGCCTCCGACAGGGCCCCGAGACGGCCCAAGGGGGTTCCAAGACGGCCCAAGAGGTCCCCAAGACGGCCCAAGAGGACCCCAAGAACGCTCTAAGAGAAGCCCCAGAGGGGGAACACGAAGCAACATTTCGAGCCCTCGGCCCTAAGCAGCCCCCAGGAGGCGCCAAGAGGCCCCTTCGAAGCCCCAGGAGGCCCCCAAAAGGCCCTCACAAGGCCCCCAAATGCTTCCAAGCGGCTCCAGGAGGCCCCC